CTTGTTATCTTACCTACTCCAGAGTTGTGTCATAACATGTCTGGACAGGTTGATTGTAAAATATTAAAAAAGCTACCTGCCTGGGGGGTCTTGTGGCACAATGGTATTTTCCCTACTTCTGAGCCAGAAGGCCTGCGTTCAAATCCCACCTGCTCCAATGAACAGTTTAGAAAATATCTAAGATTTTGGTTCTTGGGTGGCTAATTGAGTGATTTCTTGGGGAGTTTCCCAAAAATAAAAGGCGGCCCACTTGTGGGACCAATGAGCACTCTCTCATGCTATAAATGTTGGCTTGCCCTATGAACTGGTATTCTTGCAAATTGCCCTGATAAGTGCACGACGAAAAGCTTCAACAAAATGTCTCTTTCTTTCAACAATACAAAAAGAAATTAGCTGGTGATACAAGAAAAACAAAGCTTACTAAAGTGACCTTTATTTTAGCCATACTTACATAACTGGACTGATACCTCCAATAAGTTAAACAGACAGAACCAAAGGAAGATCAAACAAACCTGGTTTAATATTCTGCTGAACACTTTTTAACAGAATAAGTTGTTTGGTGCACTAGAATTCTCTGCCGGATTGAGCAAGATTCTTCTGAAAAGCATTTGAACTGACAAAATTACACTAGCAGTTTAAAAAAAAAGGTAAATCTGACCCTGTCGTACCTGCCCTCTCCACCCCATGCACTGTTAGGCGTGATAATCACCTCCCGACAATTGTCTGTGTCAGTGTTGTACACATAGATCTTTAGTGGTTTTCCATTGTGGGATTCAATCAAGGAGAACAAGTCTTCAGACTGGAACAGAAAGAAAAAAAATTGGGTAAGTCAGTGCTCCGGTTCACCCCCTTCCCCGATTTGTTTACTGACAAACAGTCACAATCAATGTATAGCTTTTCCTCTTCATCCCTAATCCATTCACACTCCAAAAAGCAAAGACGCAGTTTTAGTGAGAAATGCCCACTAATTGTTTCACAGTACATTTTTTTTAAACAAAATAGCAGATTCTGGTGCTAGCTTGGCTACCATAGTGTTAAATGGCAATTACCAAACCAAGTATAGTTTAGGCAGTGCAGTTAAGTCAGGACAGAACAAAACAGATACTTATAACAATGCAAGAGTTATTTCAGTTAATCCATAATAATAATCAAATGCAAATACAAGAAATATTAAGCGCAGTAAATGGAAAGGAGAATGAAAACAAGACAGGCAGACAAAAGACAAAACAGAGACTACAGATTAACGCAGAGGACCATGTTGCGTCTCCTGTTCCTACTCGGTTACAACAATATACATCCTTATTTCACACATCCGACGTATGTAATACATACAGTTATTGGAATAAGTGCATTGAAATATATCATGCCATTGCAAAAGCCCGAGTACAGTACATATACCTCACAAAGCAAAAGCCACTGCCCTGAAATACTACAGGGTTGCCTCCAAAATCAGAGTACCACAATGTTTTGCACACAAAGCCATTTAGGGAGCATTGGTTAACTAGAGATATTTAATGGCGTAACCGACAGAGGCCATAACAGCAAGGACAAGCATTTCACACCTTGATCCTCCCAGCGGCACAAAGGTGTGCCAAGCAACTAATTTGCAAATTAGAGGCTTTCCATAGCTTGTCTAGCAGTCTGTGAAGAGCGAAAGAGTTAATATTTGATAACTCTTCATGAGAATCCATTTTTGCAGAAGAACATAGATGCTGTCAGACCTGATCAGCATTCCCAGCATTTTTTGCTCAGAGTAATTTGCCAGAATGTAAAGATAGCCATCAAAATGGCCACCTCTGCATGAACAAATGGGCCTGGAGATATCAGTTACTGGTAGTGAATGCCCCTAATCCAGACAGCATCTGCACAGTCAACATCACTATGTTCTATGCATAATAACATCACTGTCTGCGTATGTGCAAATGCCCAAGGCTGAATTTCCACACGCTAGAGGAACTAGAGACTGAGAATCCAGAAGCAGGGGCAACAGCTGGTAAAGTAGCCGTGATGTGGAGGTTCCGGTGTTGGACTGGGGTAGACAAAGTCAGAAATCACATGTTCAGGTGAAGCAACAAAGGAGCGGTGTTCTGAAAGCTTGTGATTTCAAATAAACCTGTTGGACTATAACCTGTTGTCATGAGACTTCTGGTAAAGTAGCAGCAGCCATTGAGCAGAGCAGCCAGGTAGCTCCTCATGGCAGGCAGGAGATAGATAATGGCTCCACGCTGAATTCGGACTGGAGGGCAACGCTGACAGCACCAAGCCCTTTACCCCAGCCTAGCACTTAGCAGCTGCCACTTCACTGAATGCCCGAGGGCTGGTTCAATCCACTATCCCTACAGTTGGAAAGCAGTTGCTTGGTGGTCTCAGAGCACTGCCTGCTGGAGCAGCCTACACCTTTGTGCTCCTTCTGCCACCTAGAAGAGGCACTCCTACGATGCATATGTTTTCTGTTTTTATTTCAGGCTTACAGTATCCACAGACTTTTGTGTCTTCTGTAGCTTAATAATTGCTCTGACAATTTTGGCTTAAGAAGAAACATATTTTTGCAGTCTACAAGATACTGAATCCCAACCTCAAAAGGTTAATGAATTGTTGGTTTACACACAGAAATCCAATAACCTCCACAAAAGGAAAAGGAAACATTGTGTAGCTACCTCACGGAGGATTGCTTCAGCTCCAATTATGTAGTCTGTGTATGGTCTCAAGCCAGCCAGTGCGGCAGGGGAATTGGGCTCCACTTCCTGAAAAAGAGCCACATTGTGTAAATACAAACAAAATATTCCTACAGACAGACAAAGCAAGTGACTCTTACAAACCCTCAACCAAGTGAGTTAAGTATCACAAGAGAGTTCATACTCGTGTTTCGAAAAATTGTTCCCACTTGGTACATGACCCAAATAGCACCGCTTCATGGGTAAATTTGGCACACATCAGTCAGCTATTTAACAAGAGGCAGAGCATTACCACACACACCCAAAAAAACTTGGGTACCTTAAAGTTGCCATCTGACTGTGCTGTGCACTTGCACTATGACCTTTCTAAAGAAATATTTCAGGCTCATTATTTAGTTACCATTGAAAGGTATAGAATCTGGCATAAAATTGCTGCA